AACAACAGGACACGTATCGTCACTACCACTCCCGTTGTCAACAACAGGACACGTAGCGTCACTACCACCCCCGTTGTCAACAACAGGACACGTATCGTCACTACCACTCCCGTTGTCAACAACAGGACACGTAGCGTCACTACCACCCCCGTTGTCAACAACAGGACACGTATCGTCACTACCACTCCCGTTGTCAACAACAGGACACGTAGCGTCACTACCACCCCCGCTGTCAACAACAGGACACGTATCGTCACTACCACTCCCGTTGTCAACAACAGGACACGTAGCGTCACTACCACTACCGTTGTCAACAACAGGACACGTAGCGTCATTACCACTCCCGTTGTCAACAACAGGACACGTAGCGTCATTACCACTCCCGTTGTCAACAACAGGACACGTAGCGTCATTACCACTCCCGTTGTCAACAACAGGACACGTAGCGTCATTACCACTCCCGTTGTCAACAACAGGACACGTCGTAGCGTCACTACCACTCCCGTTGTCAACAACAGATTTGAAGTGTTTAGTTAGTTATATTAATTACAACACTATTAATTGTATAGCTAACTAAACACTATTGCAGCCTAACTAAACACTTGCAGCCTAACTAAACACTATTGCCGCCTAACTAAATAAATTGTATCATGGATATAAGCAACAGGTCAGGTTTCCTAACGACAGTTATGTATAAAACTATCAAGCGGAACAATGGGGCACAAGAAACGAGCATCACGAGAGGTGTCCATCCCTCTTCACCGGGTCGACAATAAATTGTTTGTATCTGTGCAGCTAGAAGGGCAGGGAGTTCATTTCGTGGTGGACACCGGCTCAAGTGAAACCCTTGTTACGGTTCCCTTCATGAAGGAACATGGCTTGGAGGCCGTAATGGGCAAGGATTTTAAACGTATAGATAAAATGGAGTCCATAGACATAAATGATAACGAGTGGAAGCAAATGGACTTCTCAAAGTTCTACAAGGGGGTCCTGAAAGCTAAACCTTATTTCCGGAGAGCAAATTTATCCTTGGAGGCAGAGATCTATGTTGACGATTTACCCACAAATGATGCTTTACTGGGCATGGATGTTTTAGTTGCACATAACTGTACAATAATCAATGACCTGAAAAAGCCCCGACTAATACTACGGCCACTGAAAATGCACAAGTTGGAGGATAACGCGAAGTACTTTGTCACAAACTACGATTCCATCAGACTCAAAACCAAAATCAACGGCAAGAGATCAACGGCTTTTCTGGACACTGGTGCCTCCATAACAACTATGAGCAGACGTCGTGCCAGAAAACTGGGTCTTAAAATTGAATCGTGTGCAGTGAAAGAAATTACAAATTTGCACGAAAAGGCTTTAAAAACTAAACACGTTATAAGGAACGCAGAAATAAAATTCCAAGGTCTTACATTCCACACAGACGTATACGTCATGCAAGTATATGATTTAGAATACATGATCGGAGATGACATCCTCCGATACACCAATATAACTTTCACAGCAGAAAAAGCCGTCCTGGAACGCAACAGCAATCCTTATCCTCACCAGGGCTGAGGCTATCCGGTGTTAGACCTAACATCGGATGCACCGATAGATCTCTAACCACAGAAAAAGTCCATTCCCAGCAGAAAGAACACACAGGCCACCGACATAAGCAACAGTGATGAAGTTAGACCTATAAAGTCACTCAAAATGGGAATGGTAAAGTTGTTCACCAGAGTAATGAGAGGATCTAATAAACACCATAGACCTGTGTCGCGTCTTTGAAACACTCCTCAATATGCCCCAGAGATCCTTTGTAATTACTTTTGGCCTTCCCGGCATGCCGCCTTCTTTTGATAATTATTTACTTGGGTTTCTGAATAATAAAGTGTATTTTCTGTAAGAGTTTTATTCTGTAAAACGAAAAATTTCTGTATAATAAATTATTGTATTATAATTATAATAAAGAGCTATATAGTCATCCTAGCTTAGTACTTTCTCCCTTATAATTCCTGTTCTTGTATAATAACACTTGTATATTATAATATTATTATTATAAAGAATTTACCACAGGGTAAATTTACCACGGTTCCACAGGGGTTATGAACCTGTGGAACTGCCTACCCGCCAAAGCCGTAAATGCCAAGACATTACTGTGTAACGTACGATTGTATAAATCTACTCGCTACAATTATGTTACGTTATTGGGTAGATTAGATACAGAGTGTTTAGTGAGTTTCATATTTATTTAATAGTCTTGAGTACAGTAGTCGGTTGTTGGCATTGTCGTAGATGTTCAGACGGAGCTTTGAGCAGAGCAGAGAGCTGAGTGAGGCCGGAGTCATGGAGCTCTATATAAAATCCTTAGATTAGGCAAAATTGTAATTAATTTTGTCAATAAAGATGTTAATAATAATTAAATATGTGGGAGAGCGTGGCGGCTCGATTGGGGAATCGTGAGCGTCTGAACTGATGGGGAACTAGAGCATTAGCTTATTGGCATAACTAATTAGCACTAATTACAGAAGCTAATGAGAGATTGTAGTGAGTATATTGTTTGTACTCGTTACAACTGCAATTCAAAATCCTGCTGAAAAAAAATCACCAGGAACAACAGGGGGACCTTTGACAGGCCTCCGGCTGCTACCTGTACCCGTCCAGGTTCAAGTTCAAGTATGTTTATTGAGACAAGAAAGAAATACATCTCAAAGGGATAGAGTAGCTTAGGCTATTTCTACCCTCCCCCCCCCCCCAATCCCCCGTCGAGGTAATTTCAGGAAAATTTTAGAATCCAACTGTGACGCAGCGGCGGCTACCCGAACGGTGCGGTGACAACAGCTGACTGTGTGTGTTGAGGGGATCAGCTGACTGGCAGACAGACGTGTTGCAGTGATCAGCTCTGTTGCAGTGACCAGCTGTGTTGCAGTGAACAGCTGTGTTGCAGTAACCAGCTGTGTTGCAGTGATCTCCAGCAGTATTTCACTGGAGGTGTTGTGTTACTACAGGAAAGGTGAGCGTCATCTGAGCCAACTAATGATATTAGTTTAATACTAATAAGTACGACTATACAAAACTCAATAAAGGTTACACATAAGAGTACTGTAGCAGTATTGGCTTCATAAAGTTGCTATATGCAGGTAGCGCCACACATGCAAGCATAGTGCCTACACAGTTGGCTAGAACAGAGCAACAAAGTAGCAGGAACTCTTTATATTTAAACATGAAGGGCCCTGACGGCTGAGTGGTTCGTAGGCCTAAGGGTTCGGGTTCGATTCCCGGTGGAGGCGGAAACTAATGGGCCAGAGTTTCTTTCACCCTGATGCCTCTGTTCACCTGGCAGTAAATAGGTACCTGGGAGTTGAACAGCTGCTACGGGGTGCTTCCTGGGGATGAGTGTGTGTCAAAATTAGGGTTAACCACCGCACTACGCACCTGGTTTCGACAAAAATTTCATAGTGCCATTGTTGAGAACATATTTGTGTTGTTTTTATGAATGTTCAGATAAAGTTAATGTCAAAATGTTTCCAAACTCACCCATTTTCATTTCAAAACACAAAGAGTGATGATTTTTTTTTTTTAAATATAGCCTAATTAACAAAAAAAAATAGCACAAGTCCCAGAGCACCTTAGGGTGCTCAGTGCAGTACAGTGGTTAAGGACTTGCCTGAAATGCTATGCGTGCTAGTAGCTGTACAAGAATGTAAGAATTCTTTTACTGTACTGTATATGTAAATAAAAAGAACAAAATTTAGTCAATACTGTACAAATGTTGGGAACAAAATAGAACCCGTTTGCTTTTCCATGACTGCGCTTGCCTCCTACAAAAGTAATAATAAATATATTTTTCTTCATAAAACTGAATAGGTTATATTTGACTGTTTTTGCTTTTAGATTGTTATACAGTCCTTAAACTGTAAATGACACAGGGAAACACACCTCGAATGGCCTATCATTGGTAACAAGCAATGTATCTGTGTACGGGTACCTCCAGCACCCTGGGGCTAGTATAATGACACCGAAACACCATACTATGTACCTCCAATTATCCAATCATAACCGTATAGCCAATTTACATGATCATAGACATTTTTTAATCTCTTAAAGTCCCAGCTTCCTCTTTTGTGCCAGTAGTCCCATAACTTACAGTGTTAACAAAACTTTCCAGCACTTCCACAACAGCTGGTTTTCCCTTAAAATGATAGATATGCACTTCCGAGTGAAACCTTGTGCTAGAGGTAAATCATTCTGAACTCTTAACAAAAATATATTAATAACATTGGATGGCTTGTTCTGTGACAGATCATCTTTAACATTGAAAATATCTGAATCAATCATTTAACCCTTAGAGGGCTCTGCTAATGAACTCGTTAAATGTGGTACACATGGAATAAATACCTGTACTCAAATTGCATTCAGCTATTCAAGCGTGAAGGTAATCACAAATAGCAAATGGAGCCATTTAAGAGTTAATCCTTGGAAATAGTCATAATGATTTATGAGAGTCACTTTTCTGTATTTAATATCAACAGACACAAAGGACTTGATCAGTTGCTCTGTTCAGACAGTGTAGACATGAAAGTACTCTAATGTACAATTCATACTGTACTTCTTTGTGATGAGGAGGACCATCATGGAATAAAAATTATTTGTTTTCCAACTTTTTCCTTTTAGATGTTTTTCATATTTCATTGTTATTGTAGCACATACTTCAAGAATCCTGGCATATTTACAGTTTTGTTTTATCTATTGCTCTCAGGTTGATGCCATCTTTTGACAATTACTATAGCTAATTCTGCAGGTGCTATAGTTTTTTTTAATGAGCATGTAGGTAACCAAGAACTAGTAACTAGCAAAGTACCAGCATCCTTAGTTATTTATAGAACAAAAATGTCAGCACCCACATTATTTTATTATTGACAGTTCTCAGTGGGACAGGATTCGTGTTTTATACATTTTTCTTTAAACTGTTTTTCTTTTTTCAGATTCCTTAAAATATATTCACAAAGATGTCTGGAGATATTGAGGTTCAAGCTACAGTAACCATTCGTATCATACGCTCTTTTGAACATCGTAACATCAGAAATTTAGTACTTCACAATATAAATCTCAGTCAAACGGTTGAAGACTTCATAGAGTTAATAAAGGACAAATTGAAGTCAGCATCCTCTCTTCCTCCCCCCTTTCACAATTATGCCTTTGATACCTTAAAAATTGAGACACAAGCTCATGGCTTCAAGACCAATGATCCTGTAATTAACAGAGAGGATGATGTCAAGCTAATTTTAAAGCCTCACCTTCGATTGAAAGACTGTGGGGTTAAGCAGGAAACGGAAATAAACTTTTTCAAGATGGAAGACTACCTTAAATATAAAGAAAACCCAGTGCTTGTGTGGTAAAATTTCACAGATGTGTAGGAAGTATCATGTTATTCTTACCTTGTGATATAACTTGACTTCCAGCTTTTAGAAGTGAAGATATTGATGGTAACATTATAACAATGTATCACTGTAAGGAAGATGTACCTGCACAAAATCATGAAAGTTGAATTTATACATGCAGTCAAGCAAGTATGATTAAATATTTGTTAATAAATGTTAAAACTAATGCCTTCAAACAAGTTACTTCATTGTTAATTATTAAAATGTATATTCCTCCCTTCAGCGCAAAAGTATATTGAAAGTGCTGTATACATAAATTTGTTGACATTTCTGCATAGCTTGGGCTTTGTGGGATTAAATTTTGTTAAGAGTACAAATAGTCAAATATGAGTGAGATCTTAATATGTTAAGCATCGGTTACTTCAGTGTTCTAAGTAATTTATAGGATTGAACTTCAGAAGTGAAAGCCATGACCACTTGGTTGTAAACTGAAGCTCAGTAGTGTTTATCAAAATTTGTATATGTTCACATTAAATAGTTCATGTGCATTTACGGTATATTATGTAGTTTGTTTTTAAATTCATTACACTAGTTCAAGAAAACTAATACAAATTGTATGAAGTGTATAAATTATGAGTTTCTATATTGGTTTGTCTTTGGTATTGTTTTGACATTTTGAGCTGCAGTACTACATTGATGTGCTTCTCGAATCTACACTTACTTTAAACAATTATTTCCCTTAAATAAAAATTATTAACCAGTTTCAGCTTTTTTATATACACCATTAGTATATTAATTGGTTATTACACTGTAACAAATGGAACTATTGTACAAGAACATTCTGAAGCACATGCAAAGCATCCATCAATTTAAATTATAGTTAATGTTATTGATGAGTGCAACATTTTTTTTTTTTTTTTTTTTTTTGATATATACAAGAGTTGTTACATTCTTGTACAGCCACTAGAACGTGTAGCGTTTCAGGCAAGTCCTTAATCCTATGGTCCCTGGAATACGATCCCCTGCCGCGAAGAATCGTTTTTTCATCCAAGTACACATTTTACTGTTGCGTTAAACAGAGGCTACAGTTAAGAATTTGCGCCCAGTAAATCCTCCCCGGCCAGGATACGAACCCATGACATAGCGCTCGCGGAACGCCAGGCGAGTGTCTTACCACTACACCACGGAGACTGCAAAGACTGTCAAGACAAATTGTCAAGACAGGTTTCACAAGCTGTATGTATGCAACTTAAGTTTGCATTTCACGGTGGGGTTTGAAATGTACAAGGATTGATTTTAGCTAGGCATTCATCATTACCTTGAACAACAGTGAGGCTGAATTAAGACTACACCTCCTTGAGGAGTACCTATAGCCATGTTAATTTTATTTCACTTGTGTAGCCTTGAAACAATGTAGAGGACATTCAATTGCAGACAAGTTTATTCACTGTAGCAATAAACCACCTACATTTCCATTTCTTCTGTTAGTGACCCATCCAGAAACAGAGCAGTAGTGCATGAGTAGCAGTAAAAATGTTAAAGGAAGAGGAATTTCATGACTAAGAGAGGTACAAGCCTTCACTACATAGATAAGGGGCCTGCAAAACTTTAACAAATGGAACCTCCAATGTGGCAGGTAGAAAAAACGCGAGGGGGAACACTACTGATGTTGAGTGAATGAATCCCTTAAACAAGCTATCCTGGAAATACAAGAAAAAGCAGAAAATGGACTCAGCAGTTGCAACAGTCAAGGCATGGCACAAACAGGAATGAGGGTGTTGCAGGAACTGCATGTAGTTTCAAAGGCAATAACAAACACAATCATATTGGGATGGGGCACCAAACACGAGATAAAACTCTGTATGATGCAAAGTGTCAAGACACTGAAGAGTCGGGGGTGAAGCCAATAAAAATGTGGACAACCATAGTTCAGTTTAGACAGGACTAGGGAAGAATGCAAATACAGAAGCACAAGTCTATTCACTCCTCATGAGGCATTTTTATATATGTATATATATATGAGTTGTTACATTCTTGTACAGCCACTAGTACGCGTAGCGTTTTGGGCAAGTCCTGAATCCTATGTTCCCTGGAATACGACCTCCACAAAGAATCGTTTTTACAACCAGGTACCCATTTTACTGTTGAGTTCAACAGAGGCTACAGTTAAGGATTTGCACCCAGTAAATCCTCCCCGGCCAGGATACGAACCCAGGACAAAGCGCTCGCGGAACGCCAGGCGAGCGTCTTACCACTACGCCATGGAGACTGTTAAATGTGACATGATCTTGAGTAAGGAAAGAACCTTGGAGCATTCGGGCTATAGAAAAAGCACAGGTGGGTATCAGAGATCAGCTCTAAGAGGCATACCTGTATCCTTATACTCACGTGGACTCCTGTAAAGTGACAAAGATGGATGGGGAACGACTTGCCACCTAGCAAATGATATAGCACACGCTTCCAATAGAGAAAACCAGAACCTAACCTAGTAATCTTGAATAATACATTTCAATCACAATTTGGAGCTAGTGCTGAAGAATGGATAAATCACCGCTGCAGCAATGGTAAAGTTTACATAAAGTGCAAATTCCAGATTGAAGGAGTTTGGGAAGACTATTAAGGGCAACAAGGAAGTGTTGAGCTCGACACTCTACCCTCAGGGTAACATCACATTGGCAATGAGAACAAAAGAGAAGTTTTAAGGTGAACATGAAATGTATGACTAGAGAGAAAGCTTTGCAGGAGTGCCAAACTGAAAAGGAGGCCTAAAGAATGCAATTGATTTCATATATTATAACTTTAGGCAGTGTCATATGCTTTCTTTAGGGAGGTATTAGCAGAAAAGGCACAACATATACAACAGACCTACCAAGCTGTCAGTTTTTTGCAATACGTGAAAGTGAAATTGAGAGGGAGACACATTGAACATTTAACCAAAACCATATGTAACACATGTCAATTATGCACTTAATGAGCATACAATTTTTTTTTTCAGAGTGATTGGGCAAAAAATCCCTAGGCAAAATTCCCTGCATCAAATGTTTCTGAATAGGTTGGACAATAGCCTTGGACCATCATTGTACAGCATCTCCTCTTTAAAAAAATTATTTACTCACTAATTTATACAGCCCCCATGTATAAAGAAAACAAAATACTGTATCATTAAATATTTAATAACATTTAAGTAATTTCGTTTTACACACACATTACACTTCTGTACAATAGAAAACACAAACTAACTCTGGGAATGTCAACATCATAAAAAAGCTTTGTAAAAAAACAAAAAAAATGAGAATCAAGAAAGCACGATAAATATTTTTTTAACATAAGAGCACAAGAAATCTATTGCTAGCGTCTCAAGTATGTTTTCTATTCATATCACTTTGTACAACGTCACCTCGGGTAAAATCACTCACAAGCTAATCATCTGTAATTTTAAATTTAAATATTACTGCACATTGCACTGTACAGTATTTCAATATACAGGTACAGTACTGTACTTTATTTTTGGATTATTAGTTTCATATTTTCCATTCCTAAATAGAATTTAATATGCAATTCCTTTATATTTGAAGCCATCACCATATTTGTGCACCGGCATTATGCTACATTTGTACAATGGCCACATCAATCACTCCTAATAAATAGAATACTGCAATTTTTAAAACATTCCTAAAATGTGCAAGGAAACAGGAAATTTTAAAGTTGTAGCACTATTTGCGAGTGCCCATGAGAGCTTCATCCATTAGCTCATCATCAATTATGCAGGGGGACGGTTGTGAGGCAACAGAATGTGGAGATATCATGTTGAGGGGAGATGCTACAGGTGCTGGGGATTTCACAATCTTGATGGACACAGATGGTGAAGGAGGATAGCCCATACTTGGGGTAGGAGGCTTCGGAAGAGGCTGGCTCATGGGTAAGTTGGTGGTCTGGGGTCCTACCACACTAGAGCCAGCACTTTCTGATAACTTTGATTTTTCCCCAAGCTCAAGATTAACATTGTTAGTATGGTCTTTATTTTCTAATAATTTTGTGGTGGTTGAATGTAAAGAAGGTGGACGTAAGGGTGCAACTGTGCTGGAATTAATACTTGTAGTCGAGGTGGTGGGAGGTGGTGGTAATGGAACAGCATCTGTCAGAATGTGGTCAACTGGTGTAACACTGCTACTTGAGGTTACAGGAGGTCGAGGAGGGGGAGGAGGTAGTGTTAAATCAGGCTTGGGTTTCACATCTTCTTTCATTTCTTTAATTGGTTTATACTGAGGCTGTTGAAACACTTCTTGTGGCCGAATCATGTCACTTGAGGAAGTAGGGACAGCCGGTGCTGCTGTAGATATGCTTGAACCTGATGTACACAACTTATTTGATGCTGTTGAATCATTTTGGTGACTGCCACTTCCAATATCTAGGAAACTTTCAGAACTTTTACCAGAAGAGGAATCAGCAGTAGATCCAAAAGTAGAATCTGCCTCGGCTTTGGTAGGTCCAGTCTTATCTTGCTTTTCAACCCTAACATCAGCATGAAACACTGATTTACTAATTTTGTCTAAGCTCTCTGATGATTCAAGTTTTCTGTGACTTAGGCTTTGACTGAGACTATGATCCTCTTTAGACAACTGTTTGGTAAGAGGTGCCTTTGAAGATATATTATCTTTCTTAATGTCTGATGAGCTGCTACTAAAAGACTTGGCTGGGGAGTTTTCTTTAGGCTTCAGTCTTTCACCAGAGCTAGATCGGTCTTTCTCTTTATCTTTACTTCTTTCACGCTGATACTGCAATGGACTCGAATGAACACCAGGAAGAGTTGTGCCAAGAGGAGAGACAGCTGTGGCTGTCACATTTGAAACAGAAGATCGTGGTAATTTAGGTATTGGAGGCAGATTAGAAACTGACATTTTCTTGGATGCTGGGCCACTAACTACACCAGGTTTGAGTCCAGAGGGGGATTTTGTGATTGATGACTTTGAACTAGGAGATGAACTAGAGGAGGAAGATGAAGATTTAGAAACACTTCCATCTTTCATTTTAGCTTTGTTAAATGTTAGCTTCAGGCCAACAGTTGATGGCTTAATTGTGAATTCGGCCTTCTTATCTGCATCTTTCTTACTTTCACTCGTATCTGATTTTGAAGAATCTTTCAGATTTTTATCGTTCTTCTCAATAATTGTTACAGCATCTGAACTACCTCCAACACCAGCTCTTAATTTGTCAACAATATCAGATAAGCTTGATCCTTTTCGATTTTTAGGAGGGGAGGCCTTTGCTTTATCAACTGAGAAAAAAGGCTTATCATCAAGAGATGAAGGAGCTGCATGAGATTGCGAGTTTGCAAGGAAAGATGTAGCTAATGATGAAGAGGAGGAGGATTCTCCCGTTGACACTTTAGTGATCGTCAAAGCATCACTTATACTACCTTTTAATTTTTCACTTACTATTGACGCACTAGATGATGAGACCTTTGGTTTAGATAATGACGAACTTGAGGATGATGACGATGATGAAGAGGATGTCATGGATGATGAGTTTGAACTGACTGGGCGAGAAGGGCTTGAGCTTGAAGTTCTCTCTTTTTCCTTACTTTTATTCAGTTTTGGAGATAATGATGGCTTTGAGAATGTTGGTGAAGCGGACTTTAATTGGGTCATACTAGGTTTACCTAGGCTTGTGTGCTTTGGAGACATATTTGGATGTTTAGGGCTTCCTGATGATGGCTTAGGACTGCTCCTTCCTTTAGGAGAGGAAGTCTGACTACTGCTCTGAGTTGGACTGTATATGACCTTGCTGGGTTTGTGTGTAGGACTAACAGATACTTTACTAGGGAGCATAGTCTTTGATATACTTGGTGATAACGATGGCTTTTTGGAGGGAGATTGGTATGGAGGCGTGCTCGATTTCATGGTAATACCCGACAACCCTGATTTACCACCACTTTCACTTTTAAACTTGTCTAGAGATGAGATTGAAGAATGTTTAAGGCTGCTACTGATTATCTGTACTTTGGAAGTTTTGCTGCTGCTATTACTGCTACTGCTTGTACTGTTACCACTTGGTGAATCATCTCGTTTTCTTTTCTTGTCTTTTCTATCCAAATCTCTCTTGTCTCGGCGTTCCTTCCTGTCTTTATTTTTATCATCTCCAGACTTTAGAACTGGTGTGACTGTTATAGAAGAAGGAATGGATATTGGGGTATTGCTGCCTGGGATGGGAATTATCTCTATACCTGGCCTTTTTAAGAGTGCAGCACTTAGGGAAGCAGAAGAACTGTGGCTGCTGCTACTACTACTGCCCGACTTCTTGCTAGTACTTTCAGCTTCTGTAAGGTCGAGCACAATAGGAGACTTCCGAGAGTCATGTCCATCCGTTCTGGGTTTTTTCACCTTTTTAATATCTTTACTTTCTTTGTGAGCGTAAGAATTAATTTTGGCATAATTGGCAGCATTGGCAGCACCATAAACCTGTTCCCTGAGAGCTGCCAAATCACTTGTAACTATGTCTGTGGCACTGTTATCATTAGATGATCTTCTTTTGTTTAAAATATTAGGAACTTTTTCAACTTTCACATCTCTCCTTTTAATATCCACAATACTTGCAATGCTGTCTCCCAAATATGAGTCTGAACTTCGATCATCTAGATCAATGACGTCGTCAACATACTTTGGACTTTTCCTATCCATATCCAATCCGGGTTTTTTCTTACGTACTTTTGCCGATTTAACCTCACCTAAAAAAGACTGAGTGTGGCCAGGTTTGTGGCCCACAGCTCCCAGCAAAGCTCCATACCCAAGGGGAGTTCCAGCTTCCTGCACTGCATTGCCAAGAGCAGCTAATGGATTGGTACTGACATCCCCACTGCTTGTGTGGTGATTAGCCGGATATGGACCATTATAGTATCCATGGCCAGGAGCTGTGTTTGCAACCACGTTATTTAGATTGGTCATGTGTGGAGGAATTAACTGATCTCGACGCATACCTAACTTATCATATTCGGTGAGAAACAGCTTTGTATTCTGATTGAAGTCTGAGTTTAGTTTTCCACCACCCATCATGACAGCAGAATCACCACTCATTACTGGATCTTTACGTTCTTCTTTTGCTACCTTTCTCATCACTGCACGCATGGTAACTGGGATCGACATACATCTAGAAATAACAAATATTGTTTTGATTATTTATACATATATGAGAATCTGAGCATTATAATACTAAAATGAGGAAGATTTAGTTATGAATAACTTTTCTTAATACAGTTCCAGGTGTTCATGTGTGACATTCAGGCTTTAAAGAGCACAAGTGGTGAGTCATTGCATATGCACTGTGTGATGACAGAAATGATAATTAAAGATTTTTTGTTTTAGATTACAAAATGAGATTAGTATGACGCCAGGAGTTCTAGAATCATTTTAATGGATGCCTTAAATGTCAAAATAAGATTATATCCTAATAATGATATAACAGGTGGCAATAGTGACCCAGGAACCTATAACCATGGCTGTAGATGCCAAAATTGATGCAGTAAAAAAAGAGTTATGTATTACTAATGTAAACTTCAAACACAAAAATATGCATAAATATATATATACAGTATATATAGTACAGGATGAATGCTGAAAATGTGCGCTTGTATGATATGAGAAGAGAGAGCGGAATATCAGGAAGTGTGTCCGATTCCGTGTTAGTGCCTTGGGAGATGAGATTAGGTGGAGAAAAGATGATCATACCTCTCATGGATCCAAAAGGTAAATGAATAAAAACTGATTAGTTGAGCGAGGGAGAACAGGAAGACAAGCAATTGATAAGGCTCTTGGAGTAAGAGTCTACTAGCAAATGAACCTTAGTAACATATTGGTTGAATTAAAATGTTAAAATGCTAAGGAAGAACAGCATGTAGAGTTGCACAAAATGCGACTCCAGATTTGGGAATATTTCCTTCCTCTTTCCCTTGCAAAATATTTATTTTATGTCCAAAAATATAAAAAGATTTTTTTTTTTTACAGTGATACTCTGGTGATCACTAGGGCTTGTGTCTAAGTCCAGCTAAAACTGATGTTTGGCCAAAGGAGTTAGGACAAAATGCTGGCAACACATCACACAAGTCACACAATAATACAAGTCGTGATTTGGTTCACGACTTTTGTTAGGCCAAAGCTAGAATATGCAGTGGTTGTGTGTTAGCTAGAATATGCATTGGTTGTGTGTTGCCCATATCTTATGAAGCACATTAACAAATTGGAAAAGGTGCAAAGACATGCTACTAAGTGGCTCCCAGAACTAAAGGGAAAGAGCTACGAGGAGAGGTTAGAAGCAATAACCCTTAAGCTGCTAAGGGGTCCTGAGGAGATTTACACCCCCTGTGCGCAAGAAAAAAAAAAATTCTAAAAATTATTTTGTCTTCTAAAAATGTTAATTTGTGTTCCCTGAGCACGGGGGAAAAAAAAATCGTAGGTGACATATTTTGGGCACAATAGGCAGAGGAAGTCTGGCAAAATGTATGCATTGACAGAGCAGTCATCAGAGCCGGTCAGCTTCACCCAAGCTGGCAGGTGGGAGTTGCCACAAAGATATTATTACCTAAATATTTCAAAGTTTCTGATTGATTTTTTCTTAGTTTTTTGCAGTAATATTATTCAATAGTGTGTATTGTGATATATTTATATAATAAAAGGGGGTGAATCATCACTATACTCAAAAGTATGGTGTGCTTATTAGTGATTTAATTATTATGTTCATAAAACAATAAACAAATAGTTTTGCTGTTATTACACTCTATACACAGGTTATATATAAGTATCTGCATATTTTGTTCACCATAATGAACCACTAAGTTGGTATTGCGAGTCGAAAAGCAACAAGGAGTGACCGCCACACACCAGCCAGCCACTCGTTGCCACTCCCTCAACAATGCCTCACTCTCCCACTCTCTCCTCCCACCATCCTGTTTTATATTTTATTCACTATATGCAGATGTTATATATTAGTATCTACATGTTTTGTTCACCACAACTGAACAACTAAGCTGATATAGTTAGTTCAGGCACTAAGAGTTGTCGCTACACACAGTCAGCTGGCGGCTGCCTCCCCCACTCATTCAAGGTCACACATACTAAATTTCTCCCCCAACAATACTGTTTGCCGTGTTATTACACTATATACACATATTATATATAAGTATCTACATGCTGTATGCACCGTAACTGTACACCTAAGCTTGTAGGGTTCCCAAAGAGCATAGTGGCGACCCTCTACACAGCTAGACAAGTCATGCAGACGACGCCACCTCCGACATCCAAATGGCTTCTCCCAACATAATCCTTTTGCTGTTATTACACTAATACGCACATTATATATAAGTATCTACATTTGTGTTCACCATAGAGAACCACTGAGCTGGTATGGTGAATGCAGACAATAACAGATGGCCACACGTTCAGTAAACGATGCTATCTCCCTCCCTCCCTCAGCATTACTCCTCCCACAGCGCTAATTATCACAACAATCCTGCTATAATCACATTCCTGGTAATTTTTATCACAGTCATGGGTCACCTGTAATACTGTCATCGCTAAATAATAGCAGTTATATATTTATTTTGACATTTTTCGGCGATGCTGAGGTCACAAGCTGAACAGCAATGCTGTTTGCTCATGCTGCGTGCGCCAGCCTTGGTTGCTCCAACAGTACTGTGGCTCTCACACGGAGAATATTGCCCATGATTTTTTTTAAACATGGCGTCTGTTTACAAGAGCCCTGAGGAAGCTAATGTGAACCCCGTGTAGTCGCGGGCCATTTGAATCGTGCCTGGCACCCTATGGCGTATATATATGCCATGCCCACCGTGAGACATGTTACTCATGGCATATATATACGCCATGCGCAGTTTAAGGGTTAAATACGCCAAAACTAGAAGACAGAAGAAAAAGAGGTGATATGATCACTATGTACAAAATAGTAACAGGAATTGACAAAATTCATAGGGAAGATTTCCCGAGACCTGGAACTTCAAGAACAAGAGGTCATAGTTTTAAACTAACTAAACACAGATGCCGAAGTAATATAAGAAAATTCACTTTCGCAAACAGAGTGGTAGACGGTTGGAACAAGTTAAGTGAGAAGGTGGTGGAGGCCAAAACCGTCAGTAGTTTCAAAGGGAGATGGTACACCACGAGAGTAGTTCTCATCCTGTAACTACACTTAGGTAATTACATCAGCGGATTCTACAAATACTGTAGTGCTCAGTAATGTTTGGCTTCATTTGGAAATCCTGTTTTCTCCACAAGCAGCCAGTCTGGCCCCGTTTATTATTGTATATGGCATCTATCCATACCACTGCCACACAGGTTTCCTTGAGCACATTATTTTATCCCTTTACACAACGTGCAAAGATATGAGGCTTAGCCTACAAATTATGACTCCTGTTTTGCCCAGCTGAATTTGCATTTTGTGCACACTCTTTCATGTTTAGTGCTATAGTGGAGGAATTATTTTGAGCATATGAATATTTTGAAGATACAGAGAATAAGCCATAGTAATGTCTTAATTGCATTGTTCAATTTTAATACCAACAATACTTTCTGGCTAAAATTTAAGTATTTTATGTTACAAGTAAATAATTATCAAAAGAAGGCATCAAGTCGAGAAGACTAGGTAGCAAGTCAATACAATGTGCTCTGAAGATACTAAATGGATACCTGGGGGAAAAGACAAATAATAAAAATATAATATTATACATCCAACACCGTAAGGTAAGCACGTTACATATACCTAATGATATATAGAAATAAAGCACCAAATCATAAGGTGCAAACTGAAGATAGTATTCCCTATCCTCAGAAAAAATTCCTTACTATAAATGTAGTCTTATCCCAATTTTGTGTTTCAACTCTATACAAACACCACATAGTGCATCCCCCATAAAATATAAATTGTATAACAGATTGAAATAGGTGAATTTAGTATTGTAATGCCTTGGTAAGGCATTTTATTTTGTAAGGGTATAATGTATAAGAATTTACAAAGACTTTCAAAAAGTGGATAAAATCTAAAACAATTTACCTCTGTAAGACTTTTGTAACATATTCCTCTGAACAGAATCCAGGATCAGGAGTAAGCGTGTGCAAGTGGCAGCGAGCGTTGCAAAGATCGGTCAGGTCAATCTCTGCTGTTGCCGTGCTTTCCTCCTGCGGGTGCTCGAACGTCACCGAGATGTATTCATGGCTGGCAGCTGTCACTTCAAACATGTATGCTGAATCCAGGTCTGAAAATTAATAATATGCAAATATATATTCCCAATTACTGTATAAACAAAACAAAATTAAAAGTATTATCAAAATATCTTTTATTTGAATTTCTTTTGAAAGGAATGAGGGAAGAAGGATAAATTCGCTACATGTAGTGCTTACCATGACATACGTGAGTATAGGGCAATAAGATTGAAGTTAACCAATGGTTGAAAGGGTATAACTAAGTATATACTGTATTAATAGGCCATAAAAACAGGCTGGTCAATGAAAGCATAAAATAATGTTATTGATTATAATTTATAAGATAGTACCCTCCTTCCAAAACTTGCACAGTTACACATTTCAGAAGTACTTTTATGGTGACACTCAAACTGTCAACATCTTCATGTTCATGAATAGACAAAAAATTGCCATGTCTAGCTTACCAAGATGCACAAATGAGAACCCTGTACTTAAAGAAATTTATCCTTGGGGGTAAGGATATCCTTAGCCTTATTTATCCTTAGGATGTGCAAATGCAGCTGCAGAATGTTATATAGTATAAATAACTTTTTGGTTAAAATTAAAGCACTGAGTGTTTTGAAATGAAATAGGTTATGGAATAGGTTATGGTAGCTCAAATCAGTTTAAATCACTGTGACAAAACAAGGTTTCTAGTGACAATTTTGGCACAATGAGGATATTAAGATCATAACAATACAATACCTTGCTGACCAATCAGAAAATATATTTTATTCCTGAACATAGATCACGACTATACAGTAGCATACACACCTCTTGATGATCATAGATCACGACTATACAGTAGCATACACACCTCTTGATGATCATAGATCACGACTATACAGTAGCATACACACCTCTTGATGTACTGCCCTTGTCCACTAAGCTTAGTAAACTAATGCTCTACCGTACACTTCTTACACACCCTACATTCTTATTTATTTGCATAAATGATAATTCCAAATGATAATATAAATATTAAAAACCTAAAACAATGAACAAAAAAGACTAATCTGAAGTTAAATTAATGAAGTACCTGTATACACATTCATGGACACATCCATCCTCTCTCTCTGTACTTAAAACAACAAAATCTAACAAGACTTACCTTGTTTACTAGCTGGCCTAACACATGATGAAATAAGATCATTAAACGCAGCCTGGGCCCGCAGACACATAAGAATGCTGGTGATATGAGTGGGATGTGTGAACGGCACAGAATTGACCATAACACCGGGCAATTCTCCGGCACTTGTCATGAAGTAGCAATGCTGCTGATCTGGTAAAGTCTGCAAGAGAAGAAATGAGTCACTGTACAACACTAAAGACACTAAATTTTGTAAAGGAACACTTGAATCAATAATGTAGATCAGAATTTGCAAGAAATGTGAGTAAAGTACACTTTCTGTAGTCTTACAGTTTGACTCTTCGTAAGTTATACAATGTTGAAGGTAAGTACTGTACAGTATTTGAATGTAGATAGACAGTACATAAGACATATGGGGTGTCCACAAAGTCCCACACAATAGGGTATTATTTATCTAATTAGATTTATTGTATTTACAAGGGTATTATTTTTTATATTTGTTGTAACTTTAATATTTTATGTAATTATTTAATTTATGCAAATTAATATTTGTCTGAGATTACATTAAACTTTGACCACTCAAGTGTGTAGCCGAGCTTGGCAGGAATGCCAACTGCTCACAACAGCTATCATCAAGGTAAAATGCCTAGAACAACTCGGTCTCTTGCCGATGACACCCAATTGACGTAATGCAACCTAACTTAACACTGTTAATATGAATGCCACCTCAAGCAATAATGGATGCCTAACCCACTCTCATATGCAAGGGAACAATTTGGAACTCAAAATGATGTCTGGAAGTAATTGCATGCACAAGTAACTGACATGTTTAAAATACATTTACAAACACGTGTGTGGTCAAGATCCAGCTCTCCGTGGGATGTCTTTATCTGAATTGTCACACTAAATAGTCGGGAACATTTACCAAGCTCACTAGACTGTACTTGAGCACCACAAAAATGTGAGTTACAATTAGCATACACACAATTACTGGAGTACTTAGTCAACATCCACACCCCACATTCATACACTTGCTTCTTCTTGACTGCTGATGAATGGAAGCTGTGTCTACCATTGTGAGTCATCTCTCACAGGATGCATCTGGATTTCGCACTTTGGCTTTGGGAGTGATGGCACTAGAGGGCTCTGGATAAATTCATGTCTTAATCCCTTGGTTGCCTCACCGAGAATGATGAGAGGGGGCTCAAAACGACATGGAAGAACTCGGTCCTCAAATCTCGCTATGCACAGGCTTCGACACACAACACCAACCAGAATGCAGTTTCTACCATCACTAGCATATGATTGGGTGAAATATGGGTTCCTTTGACGTCACTGGGAGTTGGAGAAAAGGTTGCCTTGAGGTGGTTTCGGGGCTTAACGTCCCCAAGGCCTGGTCGTGGATTGATAACCTCCTGGAGACTGGGTTATCAAAACCGATGGTGAAAGTCAAGTCAGCCGAGACCCTTCCTCGCTACTACTCTCTTGCGCCATCCAAAATGACAACAAGCTCCACTAATGATCATATAGGTGATCTATATAAACTGCCATCACCAAATGTCGTATGTCACCACACACACGATATCTGAACTACCAATGCGATCAACGATCCTCAGACACCCAACACAACGTACAGTACTTGTGTCCTTGGATAAAGCTGATAACCAATGCTCAGTGCACAGCACTGCAGCCATGGGGTACAGGTCTAGCGGAGAAAAAGCCATTCTCTCTCAATATCATTATAATTTAACCCTCAGAGAACAGCCATCATAAAAATTGACACTTTGCCTGTTCCTCCCCCCACTCCCCAAAATATTACAAAACTAATTACTTTTATAGACTGATACAGTTGTACGCAAAAAAAAAGGTATGGAAATTGAAGAAAAAAAAAAAAAAAAAAAAAAAAAAAAAAAAATGTAATCTCAAGTCATTTTGGTTTTGTGCACATCAGGAGGACGCCGGGTGGAGTCACTGGGTCTGTGGACTTGTGACAAGGCAATTGCCGATGCGTCACGTAAGGGGTGGGGGTTGTGACATTTAAGTTAGATGGTTTATATGTTCACCTTCTCACTTTAATTTACACAATGTGTGGAACAACAAAATTTTTGTACACATTGACAAAATCAGTGAAAATGTATGTAGGCCTTGTATATAGGCCTACACTGTAATATGTACACCTATATTGTATATAAATCTGTTCCTGGCACAGCTCAAGAGAAGTATCTTGCAGCATACTCATTTGCTGCTATTATGTTTGCATATTGTCCAGAAATAGATTCAAATGCCAATGGGAAGCACAAAATTGTGATCTTATGATAACAGCAACCCACTAGTTCAAAATAACCTCATACACTAGTAAACAATTAAAAACGACAGCAAAATTTTGTTATGGGTCTTGGTAAACTCATCTACATCGATATATATGTACAGTATTATAACCATATTTGCATCCTTTGTATATAAAACTGGGCAATATTAAATAAAATCAAGATATGATGATAAGTACAGTATTACCCTAGGGATCAATGAACGATGATAATTGAAGAGTCAAGAGAATCTAGTGATAGTATACTAGATCTGAAATACAGTTAGAATGAAAACATTTAAATGCCTGAATGCCAATACTGTTCTGTAGTTATAATATGCAGGCAATAATTAATAGAAATTAAAAGTAAAACAACTGATCTAGTTATGGGGAATCAATGGATACACTACTCAATTTAATATTATCTAAAAACTCGTGTATGTACTGTACATAATCTTACCACAAAAAGGCCACGGTTGCTATTGCATTCTGATTGTCCATCAGTAGCTTGCTGTATAATAAGTGAGATGAGAGATTGCTGATTAGAAGGGTCAGCACAATCAAGGCCGGTAACCTCATTGATGCGCTGTATCAGGGCCAGGGATACTGGCATGGGGCGACGTAACTTGAGAGAAAAGCATGCTGGCAGTGTCATGCTGTTGTCATTTGTAAGCCCTGAGAATGATGGTAACCTGAGGAAAGCCCAGTCTAACATTAATATATATACACTGTAAAATCAAAAGGAAGGGGGTGGTAGGAGAAAAGCACACAGAAACTGTATTGGAGGGGACCTAAACATTCCCTCTAATGCGTTACGTGTGGTTTCCTCCGAGGCTAAGGGTCCCCTTCTTCCAGCCAGTGGTGGTACTCCCTTCCCTATATATACACTGTAATATCAATATAATCACTCAAAGTGGGGAATTATTTTTGTATACATGCCCATGATCTATAACTCTTGGACAGGATTGATTTGATATCAAATACTGACTAAATAGGGCAACAATCAGAAATGTGGAGAAATCATATCTAGCTTTATACTATCTATGTACTATCTATACACCACTATATACTATCAATGACTAACTAAACAAGACACAACAAGCACACTACACTTTAATAGCCTGTCAGTCACCACCCTCTCACCCTGCACCAAGTCTACCAAGGAACACCACAGTCTACAATAAGAAAATATTTCACCAGGAAATCCAGTTGGGGAATAATAGTGTGCATTTGTGAATAACAAACACAGTGGATACATTGCACCTTATGCGCATAATATCTTTGAAAACATTCTATGGACAAAGATAGATATAGTAAATATTACTACTGTATGTCCATTCTGGGCAGATTTTCAAATACATATACAGCATAAATAAAAAAATGCACAGACCAAAGAGAAAGAAACTCAAGAACATTACAATAAATCCATTCATTTTCGATTAGCGATGAGTTTGTGACTCGTGATGGTTACAATACTGTAATACAGTTATATACTAAACAGAAAATATTTATACATGTTAACCTGATTGATTATTGTGAGATTTTGTTTCAGTAACTCTCAGGCTTTCATACTGTACTTCTTTCAGAAGATTCTCTATAATTCTTACACCAATTTAAATGCTCAACAATCTACTACTGTACTAAAATATCCAGCCTATTACCAATCTTTCCTATGAAACACCGAAAAAGATTCAAGGAAGTGTGGATAATATTGCTAAAGTTTCTGTCAACTAATAATGCTTAGGGTTTACTACTTAAAGATATAAGATAAAATATAAAAAATTAAAAGTGCAAAGAACAATGGTCAACTATGCATGGTAAACATACTTTTTCCCATTAGCCTGCTTTGTAATTATCATCAGTGTTGTTGTCTGTAGTTTGTGCGAATTAGATGAATCAATATTAACAGTGACATAGTGAGAGAGCTCACACGATGCAGGCGTCTCAGCAGTCAAAGTAACGGAGCGACCTGCTGCAACATCTAAGAGCTCATATGGTGATACAAAATACACAAGTCGCATGGCATGGCCTGGAAAAAGAAAAAAGGCAATCAAGACAACTTGTATATATAGAGGATTCAATAGGAATGCATAATCAAACAATGTGCAGGAAGAATTTATATTAGTTGAAAATTATTCAATGTAATGTAAAATCTGCCCATGTTACAAGTACCATATACAGTAGTGTTGTTCTATACATTACTAAATAGCTTGCTAAAACTTTTTACATTTTATTGAACTTTTTTATTCAATGATAGTTTTACCAATGTGGCTTTCTTAATAAAATACTGTACAGTACTTCCTTTCTATTGAGTTTCCAAAATAAATATTAAATATGCATGTAAAGATTAGGAACCACAGAATACAGCACAATGACCACGCATCTAGATTAGACCCAGCTATGGTGGGTCTAATCTCAAGAGCTCAAGAATCATCTCAAGATAACACTGGAAGAGGAAGGGAGGATCTAAGTACTTACCCAGAAAAGGAGCAAGGAATACACACACACGAGATAATGCTGGATGCAACACACACACTCATATACTAACAGCTAACTACATCAGCTCCCATCAACAAGCCTTGAACTGGAAGCCAAGTCCCAGCATTACTCAGAAGTGGGAACTCGAACGAAATCAACATGTCAAAGAAGATAACTGATGAGGAAACAGACGCAAGTTGGGGCAAGGGTTGTTAACTTATTACTAACTATTGTTTGTCTTGTTTTCAACATTTCATTTTTTCTCAAGACCAGCAGTTAGCTTTGTTCTGAATATGACTTTCTGAACAGCATCCCCAGGTGTTGGTTGACCTCCTTAGATCTTCACGCTTCCATACCTTATTACAGTTTTAGGGATCAATATCTCTGCAACCCAGTTTCTGACCCGGCCAAAGTAAGATATCCAGTTTCTGGTTGTTGTTGGCAGGCTTTTGAACATATCAGGAACCTGATATGATTTGGGAAGCTTTATGATACTAGTGCCTTCAGCTCGGGGAAGCTACAATACTGAGGTCACAAAAAAAAAAAAAGTTACTGGAAATGCTATTTTAAATTGTTAGAAAATAAAACAAAAATTAATATTTACCTCCACGTCGTCGTTGTAAGAGGCCAACTGGAGATTTGAGAACAAGCTTGTATGGGTCTGTGATTGTCTCTTGGGCTAATTCAAATAACTTAGTAAGGTCTGTTTCAAGTGCCTGAAAATACATTATATACAGATGAGGAGTCTCAATAACGTGGCTGAAAAATGTTGACCAAACCACACATCGTCTTCCCTTCACGTTCTACTGTGTGGTTTGGTCTACATTATATATTATATATATAAAATATTATATATATATATTACAGTACTGTATATAAATTTACATATACTGTATTAACATTTGTGCATACGGGTACAGTGTTCAAACATGATATCAGTCTCTCTGTCTTTACATAGTACAGTATCAGAATATCATTTTTGGTTAATAAGACAGTATCGGTATTGGTCAAGATACTTGTATCAGTGCACCTCTACTGCAAATGGAAGGCATTCAGCAGTCTTGGGAGACCTGCTAATACTATATCTAAAACTACAGTATAAATCTTATCTGAAGTAGGATTAAATATATTAAATTAAATAAAAAAAAATTCAAACTTACTTGCAGAGCTTGAAAAGCTTTGCTCTTTATCTTCTTGTCAGCATTTAACTGATATATGGAAGAAAATCCCTCCAAATGAGCTGTGAAGTCAGCAAAATCTCCGCGGCTCAGGCAATCCATAAGTTCAGGTGATGACTGAAAAAATATTAACATTCATTACATGTCGAGCAAAACAACAAAAAGTTAAAATATCTACTTTTCTCCACCCTTCCTATTCCAAGTATGCCTTTCTCTTTTTACCTTTCGAGGCTAGTCCTCACTTTCCCATAATTACTCTTAGGTAAAGATAGACATATCCTTTATTCAACACCACATATTGAAATTCTCAACATCAAAAACTAGAAGTCATGGATTCAAATTAAGAAAAAGTGGCTCAAAAAAATGTGAAACAATTATTTTTTTACAGAGGTGTAAACAGATAGAATAAATTAAATGAGAGCATAGTGAATGCCCAAACTATCAGAAGCTTCAAAACTTCATATAATAGAGATTACTGGAACAATGGGACAACACAAAATAGATGTCATCCTGTAACTACACCTGAGTAATTACACACACACAACTCTGTAGTTCTATACAGCACATAACCTCACCGTAACATTAGCCATTGATGATGATCACGTTTCATTACGTTTCTCCAAACTGTAAGCCTTTTTTATTTTTATTATAGATCAGTTTTCCTAATGACATTCATTTCTTCCTAATGTATTTCCAGTATCTGTTTTAATAAGCAGTTACCCACATTCTGAACATTATGTTTTAAAGATGATCTTTGACTAGTAAACATTAACTTACCATCATCTAAAGGTGAAATGCAAATCTGGCAATTGAGCAGGGTAAGGAGAGGAGGAGGCAGAGGATGATTAAGAGAGGAGAAGGTGGAAGAGTATTACAATTATAAGAGAAGACAGAAGAGGAGAGGAGGCAGGACAAGGATTAACAACAGATGAATGATAATTTGGATTACAATAAAGATTAAGATTAAAAGGAGGAGGATAGCATAAGAATACAGAGCAATTATGAGGATTTTCAGAGGAAGGATTTGGAGAAGAAAGGGCAAGAAAAATAGTAGGAGGTAAAAGGATTTATTTGTAAAAACTCAGTTTACAGTAGCTCTGCTGCACTGTTTATCCATGTAAAGTTATGCATCTGCTAAAAATTATACAAATTAAAACAAATACAGTACTGTATTTAGGAACTTTAGGCTACCTACCAACCCATCATGTGTGTTTTGATCTCCTGCCAGTTCCACTTTAACATCTCGTACCCGTCCATCGGGATCAAGTAGTACTTCAACGTAGAACATATCACACGACACAAAAACCTCCGAGCCTGTTGTTGTAAATTTCAATCTGGAAAAATAAAAACTGATCATTCAAGAAGGATATATGAAGTAAAAAATGCTAATCTTGTGAATATTTATTTACTTTACAGAATGTATATCATACAGAATGTGCAAATAAGAGATCATTCCCAGCAATAACATGACTCCAAGTCACCCATATATATATTTTTAAGTGACAAGGAATATGAGAATACTGAACATGCATATTTGTTTTTCCAATTGGATTTCAACTGTCAGATGCATAATAAGCTTCATCTGTATGGCTATGTTAAAATAGTTTAGATCATCAGAGCTTAATTAAGAAGAGATACCAGCAAAGTGGTCAGCAAAATTGACTGATACCCAAAAGGTCCCAGGTTTGATGCCGGAAGCAGGAGAGAGATGTTGGGGCATGTTTCCTGTTACCTGATGCCTCTGTTTATCTAGCAGTAAATAGAACTCAGGAGTTAGGTGACTGTTGTGGAGCTCATGTTCATCCCAGGAAAAGACAGTTGCTGGCCTGGTGGACCTCAAGCCTAAGAGGCTTCCAGTTCCTGACAAGTGGATACCAACTATACTAATACCAGATAACATGGTGCCTTTCTCAGCATGTGACATTTATCCAGAGTTATGATGCAAATTTTGTATAACACTTCTGAGTTATATATAAACTATCTATCCATAGCCTTTCTATCCAAAATCTATTTTGTGAACTATTCTGCTTATTTATATAATCTTTAGAAAGAGGTGCTGAGCAGAGTATTTATATCCTCCATGCCTTGTTTCCTCTTTGTTTCCAAGAACTTTCTTCTTGAGAGTGTGACTTCATATAAAACATCTCTACACATTTCAACTGCCTGTAGGTATTGAAGGTCTTGGAAAGAGCACTTCCACCATGTGCTTAGAAATTCTGCATTCTGGCTTGGCTGAAACAAAAATTCAGTACATGGAGTTTTACCTGGAGAAGGTTCCAGGAGTTTTCAATGCTCCAAGCCCAGCCTGGAGCTTGGCTCAACTTGTGATAAGTTGATCTAACAGGCCGTTGCTTGGTTCAGCCCACAGGTCCATATATCCACTACATCCCGGTTGGTTCAGCACTTCTTGCAGAAACTTATCTAATTACCTAATTACCTGGAACATACCTGGAGAGGATTCTGGGAGTTCTTCTACTCTCCGAGCCCTGGCCTGAGGCCAGGGCTCGACCTGAAATTGCTTCTTGAAACAGCTCGCCCTTGGCCTGACAATATTTATCATGATTGTTGGGAGGGTATTGAACAGACTCAAGATGTTCATACAGTGCTCTCTGATTGTGCCTATGGCAGCACTACTCCTTACTGGTTCTATTCTGCATTTCCATTGACATTATTCACTCCAGCATGTTGTTGTTATTATACTATTTATATTTGGGACTTGGCCTTTCAGTATCTTCTATGTACTGAATTTTATATCAACATAAAATAAGACATGAAACAATGGACACAAATTTAATAAGTATAATATTCAGAAAAGTCCTGGGTAAATACTGGTTTGAAAAAAGTTTGTGAATACGTATATAAAATAGATTACTAGGTAACATAACAGGTGTGTGTGACTGCCAGATTGTTTCTAATGTACGTGTGTATATGTGCATGCATGTGTGTGTGTGTGTGTGTGTGTGTGTGTGTGTGTGTGTGTGTGTGTGTGTGTGTGTGTGTGTGTGTGTGTGTGTGTGTGTGTGTGTGTGTGTCTGATTAAACACATACACCCATCTGTTTGTGTAACAGCAAATGAATGGATGACGATAAAGCTAAGAAAATATATTAGAGCCAAGGTGCAGGTAGGAAAACAAGGGAGGCTACAGTGTTGGGGAAGCACAGTAAGTGTATGAGAAAGCATTGTACGCATGTAATGACTGCCATTCAGTTTGACAATTTACATAGAAAACTTTACACCTAAAATTATGGCAAAGATCATATTGTGGATATTTTCCAAATGTGTGTGCTGGTACTAATTTACCATAAAACTTCAAAAAGCAAACTATTATAAAGAACCATGTATTGCAATGAAAATCCCCAACCCTTTTCTCCTCCAATTCTTAAAATCCTTTTAAGAAGAGTGCCTCTCCCCTCATGAAAATGAGAAATGGGATAATGATAAGTATTCAGTACTGTATTAAATGGAATAATAATAATTGTGAGCATTATAGATCACATCATGATGCTGGCATTGTAATGGTAAATATTATGGAATTTCAATGTGAGGTTTAGAGCCAGGATTGCTTTAGTGGCCAGCATTTTGGCTGTCATCTATGCAAGTCATCTGCTTCATCAGATAGAATATGGCTCGCTTCTTTCGAGTCGAATGTGATAGGGTTTGCATTTTTGCAACTTAACAATGTCCAAAATAAATAAATTTGAATATACAGTAGTTATAGGTGTCACCTTTGTAGCAGTCACCTTGGGAATCCAACTACTTCTGAAAGTGTTCTTGCAGCTTCTGGAGGGCTCTCTCTAAGATTTTGAGGGTTAGCCCTTGAAGCCTCCTTTAAAAAGTTGGAATTCAAACTGCCTTGTGAAACTGTCCACTGACTGGTGTGTGGAGCAGGGCCACCATGTCCACACGGACATCCTGGTCTTTTACTGGCAGATGCGACTTGATTGGCAAGATGACAGTATCTCTGGTTGTGGTGATCTCGTTGGGCAGTGGGTAGAGTCCCACTGGAGTAGTGAGGGGTTTCACAGACATACAGTATATACATTTACACACACATTTAATAAATTACATATACCGTATAATTAATGTTGAATACACATATACAAAGCAAGGTGATGTAATATTTATGACATAACATTCTCCTATGCTACCATAAATCGTCTTTTCTCGTCTGAAAATACACAAGTGGAAGAGAAGTACAGTATTACTAAAAATTTAAATCTATTAGTAATTATAGATCTCTATGACTGCCTTGGGTTTTATCTGGAAATATGCAAAGCCAATAGGATAATAGGAACTCACAAAAATTTAATTCCTTCAAGAATTTCAGGTAGGGGCCCTCCTTTCAATATCACTGGCTACAATCTGAACAGGATGATTGATTGATTTATAAATTTTCCCTGTGTTATAATGAAGTTATTGGTACCATATATCAATTATTCTTCTAACCTTTGGGTTAGATTTACAATCTCAGACTGACTTCCAACCAGCATCACAAAGCTCACCTCTAGAGGATGGAACACATTGTTTTTTATCCTTTTACATGAGAGCGACTTCACAAGTCATGCTCAACTTCCTTTCCAGGATTTCAGAGAATGAAATATTATCACAGAAAGTTGGTATTTCAGTATGGGACTCTAAAGCCTGAGATAGCATCCTATCTTGGGTACCCCACACATTTGGCCAGGTAAAGAATGCACACCAGTTGAAGTACATTTTTCAGATATTAAGACAGCCATTAGTATTTTATGACTGTACATATAGTCTCCAGCAAGCATGAAGGTAGCATATGTTGAAAGTAGTCTTTCATTGGCCAATCCTTCTGAAGATGACATTACTCAAGATGACTCACAAGCCACTCAAACACTAATGAGCTAATTTGAGAGTCAGGATTCAGGGTCCAGAAGCCAATGGGTTTCACCAGCCTCCATGTTGGTTTCTCATCTATGTGCTTGTAGTTGAGTAGTGTGTCTAATCACTGGTGGTGTACACTAAAGCCATAACTTTTCATAATGTTCACATATCCTTCATGTTCATTAAATGTTTCATGGCTGGGATTGTGCTTCACTCTCACAGTTTAGGTTTCCCTTTTCTCATTGGTGCTCTGTTTATGTGCACGCACATACATACATACATGCATGGGTGTATGTATATGGGCAAAAAGTAATGAGAATGAAAAACAATGCATTGAAGTAGGCAACTCTCTCCAAATATTTCACATATTTTATGAGTTTCTTGTGATTAGATATGTATTACCAGAAAAACATAATACAGTACTGCCAATACTCACCCAAGTTGCCTAGCAGTGGCTTCTAGTCTCTCCACCATGGCAGGTAGAGTGGTGACTTTGATATTTTTCTGGAGAGAGTCAAGGCAGGACCCTAGAGCTGCCCGTTCACCTGGGTCCAGCAGGTGGTGCTTATTCTGAAGGACAAAATATTCTTGTAAATGGTTACCTTAAACTGTCGTAAAATGGCAAACATGATTATTTTATCAACAGTTCAGTCATGAAGCTCAAAGTGCTTAATTAATTCATTCAACTTTATATAATAAAGACCATAAAGTTGAAACTGGCTTTGTAAAGAAATGTTTGCATGAATTACATGTCCCATTTTTTATAAAAATATTGAAAAGTCAAATTGATACAATTCAAAGTACAATACACATATATGAGTGTCATCACATCATACAAGCAGCCCTTGGTGTAGGATTTATGTTTCAGAGAAACTTGTGTAAAGCAAAAATCACATAAACCAAACAAAAGTATTGTATATGTGGGGAAAATCAAACATTGAATACAATGAATTGTCATTTTCTGGCGAGGCCCTCATTAGCTCCCCAGGCTAAGCGAAGCATTTGACCAGCCTAGCCTTAGGGAGATGCACCAGGCCTCAGAGATCCATCTTTGCTTACTGGGAACCTAGGCTTGAATCTGGCTCTCTCCGTGAAGTGAGAGGGAGTCTAGGAATCAGAGATAAACACTCACCACAAAGAGAAAGCACAGTGAAACAAGTGACTGCTGAAGAAAATTAACTAGTAGGTCTCCCAGAAAATTAAAATAATGAAGAGATAACTGTTAAGGTTTACTGATGCAGCACAACACAGAAATAGCTCGTGGTTGGGATTTACAAGCATACTGACCACCCGAGTCATTATGTACTAGTATCTAACAAATGCTCAACTAAATGAATGTACTACAATATCTTTCTGTATAGTTTACTCTGGTATAAATAGCCTTAAAGAATTGTTCTAATTTGGTGATATTTTCCAGTGTTGAGGATAAAAAGCCTGTTACGCTCATTGATATCTTTTTAGACTGCAACTTACCATTCCTCAAGATATGACCCAAGAAAGTAAGCTAATTCCCAGAACCAACTGTTTTCAGCTGACAGAAACTTAAAAAGTGAGTTACATTTAGAAATTAAAATATAGTTACAGTACAGTATTTACCATAATGGCCTGTTTGATTCCTTTTGCTGATTCCAATAGTGAACGAAATCCTCCAGCTTTGCTTCGAAGACGCTCCATAAGCACCTCCATCTGCCATGCTGTACTGGTTGTTGTTGTGGTGATGGTTGTGGTGGTTGTTGTGATAGGTGATGCTGTAGTACTTCTGCATCCACCTCCATCATCGTCTAGATATAAATAATTTGACTTTGGTTACCTACAAAGCTTGAAATACTTAATTAAATTTGATAAGAATCATATTTATAAACACACACACCAAAGACACAACCACTTATTGAATTTTCTTTTAGCCATTTCATGATGAAGACTGCACCTGCACAAGGAATGCAGACAACTCTACAGAAGGAACATTACAGACACCTATGTGGTGGCCAGTACACAGTGGAAGGTTTATGAAGTGTTACCTCTGTCATCAGTACTGATGCTAGAATAAGCTACTAAAAAATTATCCCATTCTCTTTGGTATCAAACTAAAATTAATGGATTACTTGTCAAATCATAAAAAATGTAAAATTTGTCAATACCTGTATGTAAACCAGTATTATTACTATTTCATGAATTCAATAATAAGAAAATACTTTAGTGATTTGAACACTATAAAATATATCAGATTTATAAAATACAATAATTTCTGGGTAATAATGACTAAATACAATATTGTAAACGCATCCATCCATTCTTGCCCACATGGCTGAGCCTTACGGGGGGGCCTGACGGCTGAGTAAACAGCGCTCGAAGTTTGTAGTCCTAAGGGTCTGGGTTAGATCCCTGGCGGAGGCAGAAACAAATGGGCAGAGCTTCTTTCACCCTGATATCCCTATTCACCTAGCAGTAAATAAGTACCTGGGAGTTAGACAGCTGCTACAGGCTGCTTCCTGGGGATGTGTGTGTGTGAAAACTAGGATTAAGGACTTGCGTGAAAAGCTAAGCATGCTAGTGGCTGGACAATAATGTAAGAACTCTTGTACTGTATGTATAAATAAATAAATAAAAAAATAAAAATAAATAAAATGTGGCCAGTGGCAGCAAATTTGGGCTCTGATCAAGACTTTGTAACTATGCCTGAACAATACAATGGCATGATAAGGTAATTATCAAGAGACTGCACTAAACCATTATGACTATACAGTATAGCACTTTGATGGGCTATGAGGATAAGGATATGGGATAAGACAGGAAAAAAAAATGGTGCCCAACCACTTGGACAGTCGGGGATTGTACACTGGCCTACAAGAAGTGAGGCCGTCGTTCTACCATCCTTTCCAAGTGGTTGGGCCAATACTAAGGCAAGGAGATTTTATTTTTAGCATTTTTGGTATTCCTGCCATATAATTTTCAATAATTTCCATATATAGCAAACATTTAATATTTTGGCCTCAGAGAGATTGATGTATAATACATAATACAGGTTATAGAAATTAAGCAAAAGCTAAAGCTCTCACACCAGAATAAAGAAATGAAAATAAACAGAACACCATCCAAGATATAGCACAAAATCTTCCAAAACATTTAACATTAACAGGCAAAATACAAAATATCTTTGCCAGTATTTGTCCTCTACACATAATAGATTTTTACAAAGAAAAAGAAGAAATAATAAAAACCATGAAATAATATGATTAGGACAGACACTTGTGTGATATTGGACACTCACACCAACAGATCTTGTCCTACTCCATAAGAAAAGTAGCAAATGAACTGGGAGGGAATTTAAACAGCTATGTATAGGATAAGGAGGGAAAAAGAGGTGCCTGCCCACCCAAATTTCACAGTCTACATCCACTAGCATGGCTCCCCTCTGTGCCAGTGAGAAAGGGGCAGTTTTAGGCTACATTGAAGATGAACAACTCTGAAATACAGCCATCTGTGACCAACACTGGAATTAGTGTGCCCAGTGTGACTAACACTGGGCAATGAAGCACGAGTGATATTATTGTGAACCATGGAATGGTATCATACCTGGGAACACGACAATGTTACTGAATAAGTGGAAGAGATGAGAGCACTGCCTCGGTATACATGTTGTGAACCAATACCCACCAATTACATCAGCTTTTGAGGTCCTAACTGTTTTTACAGTATACAGTTTAATGATACGAACATCACATTAAAGTGTGCACTGTAGTACTTTGATATATAACATTATATATTTACACTGGCAATTAAAGCTCCAAGAGTCGATGGTAATTTTATTTTATCAACAATATGTCATGAATCATTTAACTCTACAATGGTTACGACAATGTAAAAGCTTCAAACTCGCACAGCAATCATCAAGGCAACTGAGTTACAAGACGAACTGAGGCCGAGGTCTTAGTTATCGTTACCTGGGCGACAGTCCCTTTACTAGAAATTATCATATAATATTAAAAATCCAGCCATCATAGTGGTTTGTTTACTATCCTATCTTATTAATGCAACCAGTAATAACTACGTACTCTGCACTTTAGAATTCGTGTCGAGCTGCGGCCTTTCTGTGGAAGCCATTTTCAGATGTTTACTAAATTCGTTCGGTTCCAAAATAAAACCTAATCAATATTTTGCTTTTTACTATAAAGTTAATATTAAATACAATGTAAACAAACATATTTAAACATAAAAAAGATATGAAAACTTTGCAGTTGGATTTCAAAGAAACATACGTAACTGCCAATATTATTTGAGAATAAATATTGTAGTCGTGTGCGAGGATCGGGAGGGGAGACGACCATAGAGTCAGGAAGGTCACTCTCGCTTGACTATAGACGGCGCCACCAGCCACTCCTCACCCTCCCCTAACACACTCTTTTTATACCAACACAATAAAGAAAAATGGCATTCTTCGGTGTGAATATACACCCGGGTGATGTTTACGTGTATGCGGCGGTTTGGTGTGAGTGAGAGAGAGAGAGAGAGGAATGTGAGAGGGCGAGGCAGCGACGCTCGTCAAGTGTTTCATAGACGCCACCGCCAGGTGTTGTTTATGTTGGGGCTGCTGCTGCTCACTCTCCTCTGCCACCCACACTATTTGAACCTTCCGCGCACTGCTACACCACCCTACACAAGGTGAGGCCCGCGGGAAGCATGCGTGACACTCGTAGCAGCCAGGTAGCGTATTGAAGCCTGACTCGTCGCTGGGAGCTTGACAGTCATGTTGGGGGACCTTGTGACAGAAGGGGCGTATTCTCTCCTGTCTGGCTGCTGGGAGCTTGACAGACCTCTTAGGTATTTTGTGACAGACGGGGGAATATTATATCTTGTTTCACTGCTGGCAGCTTGACAGTCATTCCCGTTTTCATAAGACATGTAATTGTTATTTTTAAACTTTAATAACATGTCATTATCCTGTATCATGTCACTGGTACCAGTTATCAAGTCATATTACTTGGACACCCAACAATCCTTTACTCATTTTATAAATATTATAAGACCTGGTTCCTGGTAAGGAAATTTTATTTTCCTAGGTTAATAATCATAAGATACCTGCCTGTGTAAATATAAAATTAAATAATGGGCCAAGACTAGGTAAATAAATAGTGGGAATTCAAATTTCATTTGTGTTTTAGAAGATGAGAGAGGTAGTGCAGGAGGATGAATAATAAAGTCAGAAAATTAAAATTATAATGAAAAGTTAAGGTTGGTAATTACAGGCTGTTTATGAAAGTTATTTATATTTTAAGTAAACTTAAAAATATAAATGTTTCATTGTTGGGAACATCAATGGTATGAATTGAAAGAAGAAATGTTGTTCAATACAGTAATAGCATTATCTAATTTGGAAATGCAATGCATACGAAGATATTAACTAATTTTTTAATATCTGAAGAAGTTTCAACAGTATGAACATGTATGTATATTTGTAATATACTGAAGGTCATCTTAACAACAGTAATTTAGCAGAATATTCTTAAATTTCTTGTAATATTCATGTACTATACAGTACAGTGCATCCTCACTAACGAACCCCACTATCGAATTCTCGGATGATCCAAACAAATTGAATTCGGTACTAAATGTTCAGTGGAATATACAGATGTTCAATTAAGTGAGGATTGTGTGTTCAAGCAGTTACTGAGACCGAGCGTCAGAGGTGACTGTCATCAACTATGATTCACCAAAGTGTAAACAGTTACACAGTGTTTTAGTTTGCTTACCCATTGTTACGGGTTGAGCCCGAGTTATGTAGTTTGGAGTTGTATCCTTTCTTTTGATCAGTAACTGGGTATTCCAATGCTAGATCATATTCAAAACATTTATTACAAGGCAGACTGTACTATATTGACAAATCTAAGTACCTTTAAGAAGGGGAATAGATCACATATGTCAAGCTACTCTATCAATTATGTTATCATTTAGTGTGGGAAAACTGCCTGAGTCAATAATCACAAAAGTCATTCATATACTTCTTGAAAAAGTATATAATAATAAATTTGCTCTCATTCTTTTCCTACATAATTTAAGAAGTTGATATGGAATGTATTGCAATACTGTACTGTACTGTATAAAGTACCATTACAGTCTACCATTTACAGTCTCCGTGGTGTAGTGGTAAGACACTCGCCTGGCATTTTGCGAGCGCTTTGTCATGGGTTCGTATCCTGGTCGGGGAGGATTTACTGGGCGCAAATCCTTAACTGTAGCCTCTGTTTAGCGCAACAGTAAAATGTGTACTTGGTTGTAACAACGATTCTTCGTGGCGGGGATTGTATTCCAGGGACCTGCCCGAAACGCTACGCGTACTAGTGGCTGTACAAAAATGTAACAACTCTTGTATATCTCTTAAAAAAAAAAAAAAAAAAAAAAAAAAAAAAATTTAACAAGCCTTTGAAATTGTGTCTCATGAATGACCCATTGGAAAGGTAGAGGCTCAGGATATTGGGGGTGCTATCCCATGTTGAAAAAGGGCATGGCTATTTCAGAGGAAATAAAAAGTTAACACAAATGTATTAAAATCCAAATAATTAACCAGGCATCACTCTTAATTAAACCGTTCACTCCTATTCCTCCGATACTAATTAGGGACCCTGGTTGTAAACTGATTGGCAGGTCATGTTCCAGGGAAAATTAGCAGGGTAAAGCTTAACATTAGCTATGGGAAGGGAAACCGTAAGTCTGTTAACAGGATTCAGAAGTCATCTACTCCTGTATTCACATGTATAAAAAAAATTAAAAACATTACAGTTCAACCTGGATTTAGTGACTTGCTGCCATGTGTACTTTACAGACTGAATTTTCTTAGGATACAGAGCTAGAGTTCAAAGACATACGAGAAAGTTGATAGGCCTCGTTCATTTACACCATTTTGGGGCAGTGGCCTTATCTTTCAAGAAAAGAGAAAGTCAAGGACTGGATCCTGAGAAATACTGGCAATGAGGGTAAAATCTGTTTCAAATCAGGATCTTCTAATAGTTGTCCTAAACAGTTTGCAATCAAGTAATAATGTGCTTGTCTCAAAAGCTAGACAGATATATAAGCATACTTAGCAAGAGGGTAAATATAAAAATGTGGATTCCCTCTCACATTTTCCTGAAGGAACATGATAAAGTTGACGCCCTTGCTAAGGTTGCAGTAAATAAAGACAGTATTGAGCAGAATCTTGAGTTATCAAATAGGTCCCTTTAAAGTGTCATTAGACAAGAACTCCTGGATGATTTTGAAGAAAGTAGAACAATGCAAAATGGAACTAGCAGGTCCATTGTTTATCGCAATGAAATGCATGAAGTAAAACGTGTATGGGGAAAGTAACAAAGTCAGCAGACTAGCAAACATTGTCACAGCTTGAATAAGACTTGGATACAAGTATCTCTGGCAATTCGGCCTGTATAGGGATCTAGACGAAGTAAAGTGTAAAGTGTGAGAACAAAGACTGGGACACACACTCGAACACTATATCTTGGATTGTAGTAAAACTGAGCCATTTAGAGATAAATTTAAGCTCATGTTGTATGATATGGCAACCCATCTTATTACTATGGATAAAATACTGGAAATCCCTGGACTGTATCCATATTTCGCTTCCAGTAGATAAATGACATGAGATTCAGAAACAAGTACAGTAGTGTATTGTGAAGACCAATAATAAATAGCAGCTCCCCTAGGACTCTGTAATATCTCCATTGCTCAAACAATTATGTAATAGTGATAAGACCTACCATGTGTGTATAATGACTTACTGTTGTGACGGGTTGTGGTATCGCAGTTATACTGACCCAAATTGGTATGGCTCTCCATCACACAAATAAATAAAAAATGCTGCTCTTGACCCTTGCAGTGTGAAAGTCGCAGGTATAAAAAGTGAAAATAAATAATTAAAACAATATACTGAAATATTAATGAACAAAAATGGCACCTGAGAACACGTGGCGATCATAGCCTTCAAAAGGTGAACAAAATAATATGAAAATTAATAAAAAATAAACTGTTCAAGAAATACAATGAAAAGAATAAATGAATAAATACTGGTGGTGCTGAAGACAACTACTATACCACCACAGCATCCGGCACACGACGTAGGCTGAGGGTAGACGACGTTGCACGAGGCTAAAGTGATCCAAGAGCACTAAGAGAGAGAGACTGGCTCTCTAGGGTTGTTGTCGTTGTTAAAGATTCGCTACCTGGAACAAAGTTCCAAGTAGCACGGGCTATGGCTATGCATGCCTCCCTAACTAGCTAGGGAGGCAGTGCCCTTTATATAGTCTAGCGGTGATGACGTCAAGCCAGTGTCAACGCAAGGTGGTAACAAATGCTGAGAGCAAGCTGCTAGTTTGTGGCTGGTGGCGCCTTTGTGTTGAGGCTGCACCACTGCTAATTGAAGGCGGCTAACTGCTTGTTTGTGAAGGCGAGTCGTTCGAGGCCGGCCCTGGGGGGTACGGAGAGGTAGAGAGGTGGCAGGTCTGATGACTCATCTTGGCTGGTGTAGAGGTGGACTTCCAGTACAGAGGCATTAAGGGTGAATAGGAAAGGCAGTTCCATTGCTATGCAGGGGATTCACATGACACTGTTAATATATAGCTTTTGAAATAGGACATTCTCTATAACTAGCTGACATTGTAACTATAATATGTGAAGGATAGATGAAATTGTTTATGTAGTAATCGAAGTTGAGGTCTGATAAAGACCTTTTGTGCCCTCTGTAATGCTTTTTGCGCTACTGCTCACAGGATGAGTATGGGGTGCACAATAAACTAGCCACCTCCGGCGGCAACAATTAAAAATTGTCCATCACATGATTAGTTTAACTCTAAATTTTGTAAGTTTTATTTTGAAATCAAAATTAAAGAACTGTTGGACCAAGTTATCACAAGTCGAGCCTGGCCTGGTCGAGGCTGGGCTCGGGGAGTAGATCTCCTGAAACCCTCTCCAGGCACCTCGACAACCATTTCACCACACCAACCTTACCAAACCACTAACCATACCACCCCACCAGCCATTCCACCCCACCAGCCATTCCACCCCACCAGCCATTCCACCCCACCAGCCATTCCACCCCACCAACCATTCCACCCCACCAACCATTC